CCAGGAGCGCCGGAAACAATTTTGGTCTGGGCCTTCGAAGGAGAGCACGCACGTGTGGGCCGTGAACCAGACGGAGACGCAGATCACGTCACATCTGGACCACTCCCAGGCCGGCAAATCCTCTCCTCGAGGGATAAGGTCATAAGGATCGACGTCACCTGTGACGGCCATCAACCGGTCGACGTCTTGTCACGGGAGAAATCCAGTGCGGTGCCAAAGACAGCTACCACTCCAACTGAGATGACAGCATGGTCGGCGTCATGTGTCACGGGCTCACGGCCATCAACCGGTCGCCGTCGTGTCACGGCCAGAGATCCAGTGCGGTGCCAACGAGTCAAACAGAGTATATGTTGTGTTGGACGAATGGACGACACTCCAGACGTTCGACGACTCTTGAGGTCTCCTTCGTCCAACATGGAATTTCAAAGCGCTTGATATCGCTAACCGTCTTTGGCGCGCGTCGCGCCAAAGCCGGCCGGCCGCCGGCCACCGTCTCTGTCGCCGTGCACAGGACACGCGATCCGCCTCGCGGTAATCAGCGACAGTGCACACTGACCGACCAGGCAGCCGAGCGGTTAAATAGCGCTAGACGGACGATCGAGATGCGTACACCCTCCTCGATATCACTAGCTATAGTCACAGCCATGGCAGGTTCTTCTTCTGGCTCGTGCTCTCTGCTGCTGCTGGTGGCGGCGGCGGCGGTGCTGTCGTTGCCCTCGTCTTGCCAACTGACCGCCGGCTTCAGCCGTGTCATGCTGAACGAGTCGCACTTCGTGGTGCAGAAGCCCTACGACGTGCCGGTCAACGAGCGGTACGACCCGTGCGGCGGCGTCCGCCGCATGTGGGTCTTTGACACCGACAAGCCCATCAGCTCGACGCACCCCGGCGGCGCGCGCACCGAGATCAAAGTCGACGTACGTGACAACGGCAAGACTTGTTCTCGACCATTCCATGTCTTCTTCCTATACTAACTCTGCATCACTTCTGCAGAATATCTACAGCTCGGGAGTGTGGCAGTTCGAGGGCGACATGTACGTGCCCTCGGGCACGTCGGGCGCGTCGGTGATGCAGGTATTCGGCGCGGCGACGCACGCCACGACGCTGATGCTGCACGTCTACGACGGCCAGCTCACCTACTACCACGAGCTGACCAAGGTGGTGGTGGACCGTGTCTACGACCGGTGGATCCGGCTTAACGTCATCCACGACGTCGCCGCGGGGAACGTCACCGTGTTCGTCGACGGCGAGAGGCGGCTGGGCGCCCCCGGCCAAGGTGGGAAGGAGCACTACTTCAAGTTCGGCGTGTACAAGCAGTCGCACCACAACCCGTCTCACCGCATGGAGTCCCACTGGAGGAACGTCGCCATTTACACCAAGCCTTGAACACATTAGATGCCTCTTAGTTTCGCTCTTGATCTGGTCGTGCATGACAGTGACACGCGAGCAATGGAATGTTGGATCCGATGTGTGAACTGTGATGATGGAGGACGTCTCAAATGTGTCTCCAGCTAGTGAATAAGCGAGTAGTAACTGTTGTAACTGGGTAGCGAATAAGTGAAATGTGTCTCAAATTTATAAGTAGAAACTACACAAAGTTGTAACTGAGCAGTAACTCATATTATAACGATATCCTTTATTTGATTGCAGCTGTGTTTACGAGAGACAATATAACCATGCCCTTTACGAGGGCCATGGTGTTCGGTGATCTGAGCCGATCTAGAGAGTGGTCACGCCATGGCCAGGACCTGGAGGTGGGGGTTGGCGCCGACACCGAGGAGCCCAACCCTAGCACACACCCGGTGGCGGCCATGGAGAAGCGGTGTGGCATGTGGGGGAGAAGAGATTCCAAGGAAAAAAAATAAAATATAAAGTTTTCATTGACTGGTGGGACCCATTTGTATTAGGGATGAGTTATTGGTGATCTGCAAAAGCACCTCCCCCAATAATGTGAAAAGTAGTATTGGGTCATCCCTATTATCATCTTATTGGGGAGTTGTATTAAGAGCTGCTAGAGACGCTCTTATAGAATATTTTATGGTGATACAAAAAATATTAAAGAAGATGAAAGCTTTTGCCATGTTCATACAAAGCGCAGGAGCCCAGGATGAAAATTTGGTGAGGGCCTTGGGAGTAGAGCAGAGAACGCATGTCATCCGTTAATCATGGGAGGGCTTAGCGTCCGACCGGGTCGACACCATGCGCTGTGCCGACCAGCTTAGCTCCGGCCTCTTTCTCTGTTTTTAGAATGTAGAGATAAATATATATAAAATGCAACATCTAATTCGGTTCCAAATTATAGAGATATAAAAATAATTTTAGGGGAACAATATTTTTGGCCTATGGTGGATTACATGAGGAGGAAAAGGGAGGGGATGCGGCAAGAGAGCGATTTGTGGCTGCCTTTCATCCATGCCATCCCGGCGGTCATTGCACCATGCTGGTGCCTCACACCACCCTTCTCCTCCCTCTCTCTAGAGGTTCCCGGCTGCTGCCACCCCACTAGAGCCCTAATATACGTACGGTCTATTTTTGTCAAAAACATAGCCATGAGACTACTTTCCTCGTCTACTGCCCATTTTAGCCCTGTGCCCACAACCATGGCTTGTTGCACCGCTCGCACCTCACCATCATCGCTAGGGCTATTGATGGGCCAGTGACCTTCCTCTGCACCAGAGGACAGTCCCAACCCATCCTCAAACTGCCTCGACCCTAACCCCTAGGAGAGGCATGGAGTAGTGATGCCACAACATGTAGGAACTATAACGAAGGAGCACGATTGAAGGAAGAAGAAAAAAATAGTGTATTTGTTGGCCATGTGTGGTTGTGTAAGGGTGGGGACAAATGGTTGGCCCTATATGTATCAATATATTAAGTGGTACAAGTTCATCTTTGGCTATCCTGAGTTGTGGTTTTCCATGGTCTCCTTGTCACCATCGCCATGACTTCTTTCAAACTTAAGTTTGGTGGATAAGAAGGCTAAGAAGCCCTCACATAGCTTGTGTTCCCAAAAGTGAATGGTTTTGAAGATTTCACTATGAAATTTTGAAATTGGAGTTGAACCTTAGGACTTTTTGTGTGTTGAAACCTCATGTTAAAAGGGTCGATTTTAATATTGGAAGGATGATTTTGGGCTTCGAATGTGTGGAAAGTTCATGTTAAAAGGATCGGTTTTACTATTGCAAGTATGAATTTGGGTTTTGGATGTTCATGGTTGAAATAGAAGTCCAAGTCAATTTAGACCGGGAGACATATGATGGGAAATCAACATAGTATGTTACCCAAGGGATGGTAATCAATTAACTCTTCAATATAAGATTGGACTTTGCCCATTTGTAGTGGAATAAAAAAATTGCCTCTAAAACATGTTGAGAAGATTACAAAAATTATACAAAAATTGACACATGATTAATGGATCGTTATAATTGAACTACCAATGAAAATGAAGATTGACTATGTACTCAGCCTGGGTACATTTAACTCGAAAACTGAAAGAACCGAATTGAAACTGAACTGAAGTATCAGTTTTTTGGTTCTTCGGTTCGATTTCGGTTTTTATAACTGGAAAGTTTGGCTTCGGTTCACGGGTCCTCAGAACCGAACACCAAAGGAACCGATCTTCATCACAAACAAAGAGCAGAGCACATCGTATCCCTGTTGTCAAGATACTAGCAGCCCAATATGGCCCAAGACCAACACGCACACATACCCTCACTTCATAAGCTGGTCAGCCCAACGCACACCGAAACCCTATCTAATCCGGCCTCAGAGAGCGATGGTGCGAGCAGGGAGCGACCGTGGGTGGTTCGACGGCACAAGCAGCAGAGTGCGCGCGGCGCCGCAAGCAGGCGATGCGGCCGCAACCGCGAGCAGCGAGCACGGGCAGGCGGCGGCGAGCAGGTAGCGCGAGCAGGCGGCGGCGACGACTATAGGGTGGCCCCAACGCGGCTCTTCAGCGGCGGCCGGCGGGAGCGTCCCCGCGCGCGCAGGGACGGGGCTGCTATACTGCGCCTGGCGGGCGCGGCGCCCACGCGGTGCTGGCGGTGCAGCACGGCTCCTCAGGCCTCGATGCACTCTTCCTCTCTCTCTCTCTCTCTTCTCTGTGTCGATCGGTTTGCCCGGATCAAATCGAAAGCCGAACTGAGAAACCGGACACCGAACTCATCGGTTCCTTTTCTGCGACAAACCGATCGGGTGCTGGATCCTATAAACCGAAGTTTGTAGAAATCGAATCGAACCGATTGCCTAGCCTGACTATATACTTCACCAAATGTAAAACACAAAATCATAATTTCATATTTTCATTATACAAAAGTTGCGAAAGGGGCCTAGTGGTTAGAGCACCTGAGTAGCATGTAGCATGTCTGGGTTCGACTCTCCGTGGGAGCGAATTAAAGAAGTTTGGAATAAACAATATAAAAAATAGGTTGGAGTTTTCCCTGCTGACTTCGATCAAATTATACAAAAGTCGCAATAGAAAAAAGTATTCAAAGGAACTAACCCTTTTCATTTTAGTCTTACTTTGCGTGTCTTCATATCATAGAAACCATCAATAACTGTATCTGTTTTGAAAACAATTGCAGTTCCCTTGTCAATGTAGCTTAGAAGCCAACAAGGCAGTTTAAAAAGTTTCAGCACTGTGGGCTGGCTCCTACTGGAGCCCCCATCCTTGGGCTGTGCTGTCCACAAACACTATTTTGTTAATTCTCCCCTCTCTTTTTTGCTCTTTCTCAATTTTTATTCTGATAATAATGAAGTTAACTTTGGCCCTGTAATTTTGTAAGCATGTGCATATCATCATCGCCTCTACATTCTGATTTTTATTTTGTTGTGATTTCTAAAAATTTTTATGAGAAGGTTTTGACGATTCCATAGGTAAGATAGCCTTATAGAACATTTTGTGGTGATAAAAAATGAAAGTGCTAGCGTTCGGACATCCGGACGGACGCTGCACTCCACGCCTATGCTCGTGCCAGCACTCCCCTACCCACGCCAGCTTTCGCATGCCCACACAGGCCCACTTCGTGCTGCAGAAGCCCTACGACGTGCCGGTCAACGAGCGGTACGACCCGTGCGGCGGCGTCCGCCGCATGTGGGTCTTCGACACCGACAAGCCCATCAGCTCGACGCACCCCGGCGGCGCGCTCACCGAGATCAAAGTCGACGTACGTGACAACGGCAAGACTTGTTCTCGACCATTCCATGTCTTCTTCCTATACTAACTCTGCATCAGTTCTACAGAATATCTACAGCTCGGGAGTGTGGCAGTTCGAGGGCGACATGTACGTGCCCTCGGGCACGTCGGGCGCGTCGGTGATGCAGGTATTCGGCGCGGCGACGCACGCCACGACGCTGATGCTGCACGTCTACGACGGCCAGCTCACCTACTACCACGAGCTGACCAAGGTGGTGGTGGACCGTGTCTACGACCGGTGGATCCGGCTTAACGTCATCCACGACGTCGCCGCGGGGAACGTCACCGTGTTCGTCGACGGCGAGAGGCGGCTGGGCGCCCCGGGCCAAGGTGGGAAGGAGCACTACTTCAAGTTCGGCGTGTACAAGCAGTCGCACCACAACCCGTCTCACCGCATGGAGTCCCACTGGAGGAACGTTGCCATTTACACCAAGCCTTGAACACATTAGATGCCTCTTAGTTTCGCTCTTGATCTGGTCGTGCGTGACAGTGACACACGATCAATGGAATGTTGGATCCGATGTGGAACTGTGATGATGGAGGACGTCTCAAATGTGTCTCCAGCTAGTGAATAAGCGAGTAGTAACTGTTGTAACTGGGTAGCGAATAAGTGAAATGTGTCTCAAATTTATAAGTAGAAACTACACAAAGTTGTAACTGAGCAGTAACTCATATTATAACGATATCCTTTATTTGGTTGCAGTTGTGTTTACGAGAGACAATATAACCATGCCCTTTACGAGGGCCATGGTGTTCGGTGATCTGAGCCGATCTAGAGAGTGGTCACGCCATGGCCAGGACCTGGAGGTGGGGGTTGGCGCCGACACCGAGGAGCCCAACCCTAGCACACACCCGGTGGCGGCCATGGAGAAGCGGTGTGGCATGTGGGCGAGAAGAGATTCCAAGGAAAAAAAATAAAATATAAAGTTTTCATTGACTGGTGGGACCCATTTGTATTAGGGATGAGTTATTGGTGACAGTCGACTACCAGAATAGCAAATTATACTTCTATTACGTCACCTAAGCTTGAATGGCAAATCCACTTTTCTCAGTTCAATAAATGGTGCACTGGTTCTCCAAACAAGAAAAAAAGAAGAAGGGCGGAGCTACTCACCAGTGACATGACCGGATTAGAAGAATTAATGAATGGAAGCTGATTTCCTTGTTGAATATTTTGAACTGGAGCTCCTAAGAACACACTCATCAATATTAAGCCATAACTTACAACAGGAGCAAATTACCAACAGCTAAACAGTAAATGGACAAAAAATGAATTCAGCTGATAGGGAAACTTAGTGATGTAAAACACCTGAAGTTGATGGGGAGGACCACATCCTTTTAATGTTGATGTTTGTAGGTTGAGAATTTTCTGGGGTCTACAGATTGTTACTCGATCAGACATGATTAATAAGAGCATCTATCATCTATGGAGATACTCACATTGGCGTATGATTTGGAGTTTCATCATTTCTTCTTGTCTTTTGCTGTGTGGTGTGGCCAGAGCAATGAGCATGATGCATTCTTCACTTTGCTGTCATGAATGGATGTGTTCCCTTTTTTTTTGTCAACCTTGCTGACTTAGTAATGCGCATCATTGACATATTCAGCTCTGATTTCCTGACGCAAAGAATTCTTCGTGTCGTCATTCACTACGGGAAACAGTGACAATGCCGAGTGCTTTAGATGCACACATTTCGATACTGAAATTCACTTTGCAATATGAAGTCTAACACTGTTAAAAAGGAAGCTAACACTGTTTCGAAAACTTCTCTTTTGTGCAGAATCAATCAGCGGCATCAAATAATCAGTTTCAAGACCCGGATTTGTCGCAGAGGTTCCAAGGGCCTACGCAGTGATTGCATTTGCATTGTGTCTTATTGTGACTTAGTTGTGACTTGTGATGATGGTTTATTGTAAATTGAGATGATGGTTTATTGTGACATGTGATGATGGTTTATTGTGAATTATGATGATGGTTTATTGTGAATTATGATGATGGTTTATTATACCTGTGACAAATAATTATGCCTGTGATGATGTTTTATTGTGAATTGTCATGGGTTTTTTTGTGAATTGAGAGATATGTGACAGATTATTAAAAAAGGGAGGGCCTTGGTCGCTTTGACGAGTGTAACACTCGGCAAAGATAAGAGTTGCCGAGTGTCAAGGTAAAACACTCGGCGAAGAGACCATTTTCCATTCTGGTAACCTTCTTTGCCGAGTGTATTCCAGTGGACACTCGGCAAAGTGACCATAAAATCTGACCGCTGGAGCTTGTTTGCCGAGTGTTTTAGTTCTGACACTCGGCAAACTTTGGAAACTTTGCCGAGTGTTTTAGTTCTGACACTCGGCAACCTTGGGAAACTTTCCGAGTACTTTAGTTCTGACACTCGGCAAAGTTGGGAATCTTTACCGAGTGTTTTTGTTCTGACACTCGGCAACCTTAGGAAACTTTGCCGAGTGTTTTATTTCTGACACTCGGCAAAGTTGAGAAACTTTGCCGAGTGTTTTCCGTCGTGCACTCGGCAAAATCGACGTCGCCGTTCCATCCCGTCATTTTTTTTTGCCGAGAGTTTATTTTTGCCGAGTGTTTACTGACAGTCGGCAAACTGTTTGCCGAGTGCCCGATGAAAAACACTCGGCAAACTACTGTTTGCCGACAAATCAATGCCGTGTGCTGTATGCTGAGTGTAACACTCGGCAAAGTATTTGCCGAGTGTTTTTGGGCGTTTGCCGAGTGCCCTTGACACTCGGCAAATCTACTGTATCCCGTAGTGACGCACCCCGGCGGCGCGCGCACCGAGATCAAAGTCGACGTACGTGACAACGGCAAGACTTGTTCTCGACCATTCCATGTCTTCCTATACTAACTCGCATCGATTCTGCAGAATATCTACAGCTTCGGGAGTGTGGCAGTTCGAGGCGACATGTACGTGCCCTCGGCACGTCGCGCGCGTCTGTGATGCAGTATTCGGTAGCCCACGACGCCCACGCGATGTCTTTGCGTTCACGACGGCCAGCTCTCACCTACTACCACGAAGCTGACCAAGGTGGTGGTGGACCGTGGTTCACGACCGGTGGATCCGGCTTAACGTCATCCACGACGTCGCGCGCGGGGAACGCCATCGTGTTCGTCGACGGCGAGAGGCGGCCGGACGCCCCGCCAAGGTGGGAAGGAGCACTACTTCAAGTTCGACGCGTGTACAAGCGATCGCACCACAACCCGTCTCACCGCATGGAGTCCCACCGGTGGAACGCCGCCATTTACACCAAGCCTTGAACACATTAGATGCCTCTTAGTTTCGCTCTTGATCTGGTCGTGCGTGACAGTGACACGCGATCAATGGAATGTTGGATCCGATCGGGTTTTGACGATTCCATAGGTAAGATAACCTTATAGAACATTTTGTGGTGATAAAAAAAAGAAGTGCTAGCGCTCGGATGTCTGGACGGACGCCGGTGTCTAGACGCCCGCGCTGCACTCCACGCCTGTGCTCGTGCCAGCACTCCCCTACCCACGCCAACTTTCGCACACCCACACAGACCCACGCCGCAAGACTGCGTACGGGTCATCACACCCCCTCCGCTTCTCACGTGCATTGCAACATGTGCAACACTAGATCTAGTTTTGGAACATTCAGATGCAACACTTGCAACATATATTTGAAGATAGATGAAACACTTGAAACATGCGTCTGAAACACTTGCAAAAACACTTGAAACCATTGCAAATATACAAAATATCTTCATAAAACACTTGCAACATATGTGTGAAATAAATGCAATATCTAAATAAACATACTTGTAACATGCGTCTGGAAAAATAGATGAAACATTGGGAACAGAAGCTTGCAACATCCGTGTACAACCATTGCAGCATACGCAACATCTCGATCTACTTTTGCAACATTCATTTAAAACATTTGCAACATACCAACATCCCGATCTACTTTTGCAACATTCATATAAAACACTTATAACATACCTATAAAATATCTGAAACATACGTCTGCAACATGTGTGTTTTCACATGTTCTCTCGGACGACGCAGAGCAGAGCCGGGAACGGCTGGTTTAGGCCTGCCAATGGCCGAGGATGGTGGCATGACCTGGCAGTGGCCAGTTGTGCCTGCGCTTGGCGTAGGCTTGGCCTACAATGGTCCCCTCCCCTAGCCACCTAGCCACACATGGCGGTCGACGCTTGCAAGTGGAGATAGAGGATGCGGTGGAGATGGAGGATGGAGATGGAGAGGAAGGCCGGCGGGAAGGCGTGGCAGAGCGTAGTGGCGGTGATGCATGATTTTTTTAATATAAACTGCGGTGAGGGAGGGAAGTGGATAGGAAGGGAAATGATAGACTTTGGGGCCCACCAACAGGGGCATCTGGCGTGGAAGGACATCTGCTTGCGAGCAGTATTACCCACTAGTATAATACCCGTGCTAACGCAACGGTTTTATCTAGAGAATGATCATAAAAACATCCAATTTGTTATTTTGTAGTTTAACCTTTACCCAATTATTATATTGTAGCCTATGTTACATTCGTTTGCATAATGCGTAAGTCCTTTATCATTTGTTGCACATCTTCAGAGATGTTGAAACATTCGTTTGCAGGACTCGTCAAAATGTCAGCCAAGAATTCCTTCCTCAGTGTAGATGATAACTGCGCATGGTATAGAATATAATATGTTAGTATTGTATGTAGTGTACGGAATATAGTTGGAGACTATATATGCTTATAGTTGTGATCCATGGCAATCTTACGCCGTCCCACGACTTCATGAAATTATAGACAAGAAAGCCTCCCAATTTCCTGACGGAGAAGATCAGTTGTTTATTTGATGTACATAAATCAAATTACTGTTTTTTATAGAAAAGTTGAACCAAATTTTGCGACACTTACCAGTATTTATGACCCAAAACCTTTATTACATATTTAGGGTACGGTATTTTCGCTCCCAGTAATAAATATTTTCGCTCCACCTAGAATTTGATAGTGCCATGGCGAGATTGAACATTCTAGCATTAGTGTGGAATGTAGGTATATATGCCATTTCTTGATGATAACCCTTCAAACATGCATTATCTGGTAGCGGTTCAAGCGGATCCATAATGTGCACAGTTTTGTTTTGCATGTCCAGTATGAATAAAATGTATAGTCCATTCTGATAATATGATAGTAGAATCTAAAAACAAACACACAGACTGGAAGTGGTTCATAAATAAAATAAATAAATTCTTATAAAGTAGTACACTGACCATAATGTACCTGGCTACAATCTTAAATTTTATAGTACATGTCTGGCCAGCACTCAAGTACCTTTTTCAATTTGTTGTAGTATACCTTATCAATGACACCAGTACATCGTGGATCTCTTCCAAACCTAGTTATTTCCTGATGATGATTGTAATTGTCAGTATATAATTTTTTAATCACATATA